CCAGAGTGCTGGGATTACAGGTGTAAGCCACCATGACTGGCCTGATTTTTCTTTCTTGTATAGATATATGACAAAAATAGTGATTTTTTTCTTTTAGAAAAGATGAACAAAAGAAAGTACTAGGCAGGATCAATTAGAGCCTGCCATTAACATTTTACTATACTGTCCTGTCACATATCATATCTAACCCACATCTATCCACCAATTTATCTTTTTTTTTTTTTTTGAGATAAGAGTCTCACTATGTCACCCTCAGTAGAGTGCTGTGGCATCACAGCTCATACAAACTCTTGGGCTTAAGTGATTTTTCTAGCCTCAGCCTACACTAGAGGTCCCCACCACAATGCCTGGCTATGTTTTGTTGCAGTTGTCATTGTTGTTTAGCAGGCGCAGGCCGGGTTTGAACCCACCACCACTGGTGTATGTGGCCAGCGCTGTAACCACTGTGCTATGGGATCCAAGCCTTATCTTACTTTTTTTTTTATTATTATGAGCCTTATCTTACTTTTATGATGTATAATATTCAGTTTTTATTCTCCCACCCCAAGTTTACCTATATCCACATGGTAATGTCTAGAATATGTTTTAGTAACTATCCATTTAAAGACTACAGAGAAAACAAATGTACTGTAAATGAAGAACTTTAGGTGTTTTCCACACTGATGTGGCCAAGGGAAAAGGTCAGGAAGGGGTGGCCTGAGTTAGCTCTATGTATCATCCCAACCCCCCAAATTCATCTTAGCTTCAACTGTCCAAGTAGAGAGCAAACAATACTTTCAAAGTAAAATAAATGTTTCTATCAGTCCATCCTGGCACACTTACATCAGAAATTTGTGATTTAACCAAGCCCTCTCAACTAGTATTCTGACATTGTCTCCCAAAGGACTTTTTTTTGGGGGGGGGGGAGACAAGAGCCTCAAGCTGTTGCCCTGGGTAGAATGCCATGGCCTCACAGCTCACAGCAACCTCCAACTCCTGGGCTTAAATGATTCTCTTGCCTTGGCCTCCCAAGTAGCTGGGACTACAGGTGCCCGCCACAATGCCCAGCTATTTTTTGGTTGTAGTTGTCATTGTTGTTTGGCAGACCTGGGCTGGATTTGAACCCACCAGCTCTGTTTATGTGGCTGGTGCCTTAGCTGTTTGAGCTACAAGCGCCAAGCCTCCCAAAGGATTTAAATTACTATACCATATATATCTTTTGAAGGAGGGGAAATCAGTCTTTAGATAATTTAAACTTTATTGCATACATTTCCATTGCCCTGGATCCTGATCCTTCTCCTGTTTCCAATTTACAAGGTATGAAGTAGCAAAAAAAAAAAAAAAAACAACAAAAAACTAATTAAATATTGATCAAAAGATTTAGACTCAATTCTGGGTTCTGCCATATTTTAATGACACATTTAATGTCATTTTATATATGTAGACAAAAACTCTCAATTTTCCATGGCCAAATTGATCAATTCCTCAACTTTCCAAAAAATGTTTACTAAAAAATTTTAGCAATTTGTTTTAGATAGGATAGGAGAGAATAACATAGGATAGAAATCTAGCTAGATAGGACAGCTTTTGAAGCTATCTCTGATGTTCTGTTCATTCATTTGAAATATTTACTTTTGTTTAGCTTTTAGCCATTTGGATGTAGCTGTTTAGCCAAGACCAAATTTCAGTGCATTTGGGGATTTTACTTAGGTATATGACTTCAAGGAAAAGAATTTCTTATGTGTACTGAATTATATATAACTGTATACACATACACATCTTATGTGTGTTGATCATATATAAGTATATACATACATATTTGGGGCGTAGTTTTCTCTTTCAAAACATTTTCAATCTATTCTATTATTTTGTGAACTTTCCTAAATATAGGAATTTATTAACTCAGATTACTATTTATATAGTAAATAGGAAAGTGGAGATAGGCATTCCAGAGACTTCCATGGAAGGGTTAGCTCTAGGGTATATAGGACTATCTTATGTTGCCATTGGATGATCTCAACAATTCCAGACAAGGTTGACTCTTAAGGCTCCCAGGCTTCTGGCTCTCCTAGCCCTGATTTCCGAGCTGGCCTCAGGCTGAGGGGCAGGTCAGCTGTGTATGTTTGTTTATTCATTTTTAACAAAAAATGTTTTAAAAGTAAAAAA